TTCTTTGTCTTTTTTTTAAAGTACAAAGATTATAGTATACATACTAAGTAAAATTAAATAAAGCAAAATATCAAATTATTTTTATGTAATTGTTTTGTTTAAATCTCATATATTACTACTCATTTTGAGCAACTGTACCTAGTAGTGAAACATGTTTACTGATAAAATTCTGGATTTTTAGCTATCAAGATTTTTAGCAATTGCATTACACTTTATGCCAATTTCTTATAAAAAATCAACTTATCAATATAACGATTTCTTTAATAGCACAATACTGCTCTAGCCTTATTACCTCAACACTGCCACTTCACTTTACAGAGGTAAGGGAATCTTTAGAACATAGAAGGATCATGCTCCAGAAGTTCATTTGTAATTTCATGGCTTTAAATTTAGAATACATTTTCTTTTGGGACGGTTAGAGAAGTAGTTATTAACTTTCATAATCACTCTCTGATTTTAGCAAGATAATGAATTACGACCAAATTTTAAAAAAAGAGAGAGAATGTTCTAGTGTTGAAAAAGAAGAGGTTTATGATTACTTTGATGAAAGGAAAGAAAACGGCCTCTGCCATTTTGTTAGAAGCTACCTACGTGGGGAGTTCTGGTGGCCTAATGGCAAGGAGCTGCAACTACAATCCCAGAAGCGCACGGTTCGAATCCATCAGATGTTCTGCCAGGGAAGGAGGGACAATCTCCTTCTGTACCAGTCAGATCTGATTTGACGGTACACGCACACAAAAATAAAAAAAAAAAAAAGAAGTTACCTACGTGTCTTTGAGGAACTATGTAATATTATTTTACAATAGTTCTTCCAAACAGTGCTCCCAGAAACATTAATACCTAGGAAATCTTAATGAATATTTCAAATTTGTCTTTGATTTAATAATTATAGAGAAAAAGAATGTGAGGGCGCTCTGCTGGCCTAGTGGCAAGAAGCTGTGCTGCAGTCCTGAAGACATGTGGTTCAAGGCCACCAGTTGCACCTTGGGAGAAACATGGACAGTCTCCTCCAGTGTAATTAACTGTTTCTGAAAGCCTGCTGGAGGTTCTGAAAACCTGCTGGAAGTTCAGCTATAAGTTGGCTCCAACTGTACTGTACAGAACAACTACATACTGAGTAATAGTTCATAGTCATATTGACAATTCTTAGAAGTCTTAAAGAGATCAGTTTAATTTTTTTGTTGTGTTGTTTCCACAGTTGTTTATTTGCTGTCAAGTCTCCTGCGACTCATAGTGACCCTATGTACAACAGCTCTAAACCCTGCTCTATTCTGTGTCAATCTCATTGTCTCTGACACACCTACCCCTATTACCCCAGTCACTGAATCAGTCCACCTCATAGAGGGTCTTCCTCTCCTGTGTTCTTCCTCCACCCTCCCAAGCATACTTCTCCAAGGACTGGTCCCTCCTTGCAACATGTCCAAAGTATGTCAGACGAAGCTTCAGAATCTTTGCCTCTAAGGACCAGCCTGGTTTAACCCTCTCTAGGATGAACTTGTTCGTTTTCTTAGCAGTCCATGGTATATTCAACACTCTATCCAACACCACAGCTCAAAGGCATTCTCCTTCTATCATCCCTAGTCATTGTCCAACTCTCTGACACACAGCAAGTGATTGCAAAGACCGTGGCCTGTATCAGGCATACCTTAGTCTCCAGAGTGACACTATTGCTCTTCAGTACTTTGGAGAGATCTCTAACAGCAGGCTTTCCCATCGCAAATACATCTTTTAATTTCCTGGCTGCTGGTGCCAAGAATGTTGACTGTGGAGCCTAGCAAACTAAAGCTGTGAACAATCTCAGTATCTTCACCATCCATCCTGATGCTGCCAATTGGCCCAGTGGTGAGAATCTGTCTTCTTGACATTGAGCCTCAATCCATATTGGAGTCTGCAGTCCTTGACCCTCTGCAGCAAGCGCTTCAGGTCCTCCTCAGTTTCAGCAAGCTGGGTTGTGTCATCTGCATATTGCAGATTGTTGATAGATCTTCCACCAATCTTGACCCCACATTTCTCCTCATAGAGCCCAGCCTCCCGGATAATCTGTTCTGCATACAGGTTGAAAGGTATGGAGACAGGACACATCCCTGGTGTACACCCTTCCCAATTTTGAACCATGCAGTGTTTCTTTGCTCTGTGCTGACAGCTGCCTCCTGGTCCAAGTATAAGTTTCGCATTAGCACAATCAAGTGTTCTGGGATTCCCATTCTTCTCAAAGTCAGCCACAGTTTGTTGTGATCCACACAGTCAAATGTCTTTGCATAATCATTGAAACACAGATATTCCTCAGGTACTTCCTGCTTTCAGCCAAGATCCATCTAATATTAGCTACAGTATCCCTAATACCACAACCCCTTCTAAACCCAGCCTAGACTTCTGACAGTTCCCTGTTGATATGCTGTTTCAGTCTTTTTTTGGATAATCTTCAGTAGAATCTTGCTTGCATGTGATTTCCATGATACTGTTCGATAATTTCCACACTCTGTTGAATTTCCTATCTTTGGAATGGGAACAAATATAGACCTCTTCCAGTGAATTGGCCAAGTGCTTGTCCTCCAGATTTCTTGACACAACTTGGTAAGCACATCTAGGGCAGCATCTGTTAGTTGAAATAGATCAATTCCTGGGGCCTTATTTTTTGCCAGTTCCTTCAAAACAGCTTGAATGTCTTCCTTCGTCACCATAGGCTCTTGCTCATATGTTGTTTCATGAAATTATTCTGTGTTTGCCAATTCCTTTTGATACAATAACTGTATACTCTTTCCATCTTCTTTTACTACTTTCTGGATCATTTAATATTCTGCTCAAATCATCCTTAATTATAGCACCTCAAGGTTTGAATTTGTTCTTCAGTTCCTTGAGAGTTTGGCCCTTTTGATTTTCTGACTCCATCTTGCACATTTCATTGTAATATTTTACTTTGTCATCCCACGCTGCCTTTTGAAATCTTCTATTCAGCTCTTTAATATATTGAATTCTTTCCTGTGCTTTGGCTTCTTGGCACTCTAGTGCAATATTCAGAGTCTCTTCTGACATCCATTTTGGTCTTTTCTTCCTCCTCTGTCTTTGTAATGATGTTTTTTACTCTTCTTGGATGATACTCTTGATATCTTCCCACCATTCACCTGGTCTTCATTCATTGTTATTCAAGGCCTCAAGATTTCAACAGTTGTTGTTGTTAAGTACCCTCGAGTTGCAGGAGACTCATAGCGACCCTATGAAGGAGAGTCCTCAACCCTTGTGTGTCTTTCATCCTCTCTCCAAGTTCATAGGGTTTCCAGAAGCAAGCTATTATGGAAGTGGATGCCACTCCTGCTTCTAAGCTTGTTTTAATTGGGGCACTCCACCGCACTCTATCCGCATTGGGTAGCCAACCATTAACGCATTTGACACATCAGTGTCACAGTGTTCAGCCTCACAACAACCACAAGTTACCGCTGTAGGGCAACTTGTACACCAGGGTTGTAAGGCAACTTGTTCACCAGGGTTATAGGACCTAGAGGAATGTCTGAACAAAAACAATGAAAGACTGGCCTGAAGGCCACAGGTCCGAGGGCCCTTAAGTATGTTACCATCCCAGCACAATCAAATGCTGGCAAACTGTGGGCCCCAGACCCCTAGTTCATCTGGCAAGTCCTCTCTGCCAACCCCAACGTGGGGCAAAAAGAACACCACAAATGCCCAGAGCCCTCCTACCTGCCACTCCTCAAGAAGCCAGAGGCCGCATTCAGCTAACACTAAGTCTCGCAAGACCCTCCTCTTTCTCTCTCTTAAGCAGTCTGGTCTTTCCCATTTGGTTGTAGCCAAAGAAAGGAGAGCCTGAAGGTGAGGAAAAAAGCATCTTTGCTTCATTGTCCTTACTGATGTATAATATTTCATATGTTTAAAGAACATTTCTAACACATTCCTAGTACATAAATCCTGCGTGTTAATTACTCACCAATATGGCTTCCTTGAGAAACTGTCAGGCTGAACCAAGGTCAAGGGAGAATGAAGGATTCAAGGAATATGAACAGGTCAACAGAGGGTGTGAACAGCCTTGCCCATCTGACTAAACTACCATGGAGTTTCTCTCCCTAGAAGATCACCCACCAGGCTAAACCACAATGGAATGTCCCTCTATTCCCTCCCAAAAGACCCTTATTATAAAAACCCTGCCCTAATCAACCTTAAGGTAGTCCGTGGTCTGTCTCTCTGCCTGTCTTTCTCTCTCTCTCCAGTCCAAAGAATCCTGCCCAGGAACCCCTTTAATAAATCTGCTTTAGCTTTCTGTCTTTTCTTTGGTCACTTACCTAAGTCCTTGGCCTTATGTCTAGTGTGAAGACCTGAAAGAAACATATTAGGGGGAAAATATACAATGTATATAATATATAAGAACTTTGGCATCTTATTTTAACATCAATTTAAAAAGCCATTAAAGATTATTTTACATAATGATGAAATTTTTTTAGTTTAGTTGTTGTTATTGTTAAGTGCCACTGAGTCTACTCATAGTGACACACCTATCCCCATTACTCCAGTGACGGAATCAATCCATCTCATAGAGGGTCTTCCTCTTCTGCACTGTCCCTCCACCCTCTCAAGCACAACATCCCGCTCCAAAGACTGGTCCCTCCTTGCAACATGTCCAAAGTGTGTCAGATGGAGCTTGAGAATCCTTGCCTCCAAGGAGCAGCCTGGTTTCACCCTTTCCAGGACGAACTTGTTTGTTCTTCTAGCAGTCCATGGTATATCCAATACTCTTCTCCAGCACCAAAGCTCAAAGGCATCAACTCTCCTCTATCATTCCTAGTCATTGTCCAACTCTCTGATGCATAGCAAGTAATGGCAAAGACCATGGCCTGTAACAAATTTTATTAAGTTTTAATAAATTGGAAGAGAAATGTTTAATAAACAAGTTTTCCTTTTTGCTACTGCGGTTTTTTTTTTAAATTCAGTATTTAAATGTTGTTAAGGACAACTTTAAAATTAAAAAATTTAGATTTATTTTGTGATTCTTTTAGATGTAATAAAGGAACAGAATCGAGAGTTAAGAGGTACACAGAGAGCCATAATCCGAGATCGAGCAGCTTTAGAGAAACAAGAAAAACAACTGGTAAGTGGAATAAAAAAAATATCAATTTAAGTTTTCAGAGAGATTTGAGTGAGTAATGGTGAATATGGTTATTTTTGTTTTGTTTGTATTTTGCAATAGCGTGATTCTTTTTTTCTTGCCTTTTTTTAAAAAAAATACTGATTTGCATGTAATCATTCATGTTTTATACATGTATTTTGTGTTTTATACAATCATTCATGTATGCTGTTTCGTTTACATACCTTGTGTTTTATAAAATCATTCATGTGAATTATATTTTATCATTACTCTATGCCTGTTTTCTGAAAGCCTTTAGTCAGGGATCTCTTCAAATTTCTGAGGATTAATGATGTTACTTTGAGGACTAGGGTACACCTGATTCAAACCAATGGCTTTTCAGTTACTTGCTGTGCTGCTGAGAGCTGGGTGATAAATAAGGATAATAGAAGAAAAAATGATGCCTTTGAATTGTGATGATAAAGCAGAGTACTGACTATCCTATGGACTGCCAAGAGAACAAGTAGATATGTCTTAGAGAATGTGCAGCCTGGGTGCTCCTTGGAGGCAAGGATGGCAAAGCTTCATCTAACATACTTTGAGCATGTTGCTAGGAGAAGCTTTTCCTTGGAGAAAGACATCAATAATTGCAAAGGTGGGGAGATGGTGAAGGAACAGAAAACCGTTAGTCAGGTGGATTGATACAGTATAGTATACACTGCAGTAGTAGGCTCCAGTGTATTAGAGATTGTGAGATTGACACAAGATAGGACAGGATTCAGATCTTTTGTTCGTAGAGTCTCTAAGAGTTATACTCACTTTGATGCCACCTAACAACAATATACCTGTTATTGCCTCATCTTTTCAAGTCCCCATTGAATATTTCTCAGTCCTTCACCCCCTACCTTCCCTTCCTTTCACTGCCCTTCCTTCTCCCCTTTAAGAACATTTGTCCAAATCTTGCTCAGTTAGCCTTTTATTATCACAGTAATGACCTTCTGCATGACCTTCTACAATATTTGTCCTTTTGTGACTGAGATATTTCATTCAGCATAACTCTCTCTGTTCTCTCCCAAGTTATATTAGTATTTTATTTTGCAAAGTTTTTGTTTCTTAGTGCTGCATAGTATTCCATTGTGTGAATGTACCACAATTTCTCAGTCTGTTGATTTGTTGATAAGGCATTTGGATTGTTTCCATTTTCTTGCTATTGTCAGTACAGTGTTATGAACAGAGATATCTCAGTTCTGATTTCCCTGGGATATATTCCAAATAGTGAGATAGTTAGGTCATGTGGAATTTTTATTTTCAGCTTGTACCATTTTACAATCCCACCATCAGTGTATTGTTGTTATGTGCTGTCAAGTCTGGACCAACCAATAGCTTACTCTCCAGTGAGTTTTCAATGGCAGTAAAATTTACATTGGAGGAGATTGCCCATCCTTCTCCTACATGCTTTAGAGATTGTCACATGACTTCTTACCACTAGGCATAGTTCCAATCTCCAACATTTATTCTTTACTATGCTATTAAACTTTGAGACTGTTGCTAGAGTGAGATAGTATCTCATCATTGTTTTGATTTGCATTTCTGATTGCTACTGATTTTGAACATTTCCTTATGGGACTGTTGGCCAGCCAGATGTCCTCTTTTGTGAGAATTTTGGGTTTTGCCCATTTTGTGATTGGGTTATCAGTCTCTTTTTGTGGAGGCCACATAGTAGAAAGTATGTAGTAGTAATGCCAAGACTAACATTCTGGTGCACGAAATCCGGGATAGGAGTCGAGCCATGTTGCACCCCTGCTCTCTTGTGGCGAGTGGGGCAACCCTCACTCTCTCTCTCTCTCTTGAACCTACCAGCTTTCACAGTGTCAAGACGTTGAATGGTAACATCACAAAAACATCCTGTTTCTCTCTTCTTCTCCTCATTACCTTTCTTTCTAATTATTCCTACATGCCCAACCCTGTTGCTAGTAGAGACTGACCTCCTATTTAAATTTAGAGCTGTGTTTCACTAGGAGCCAAGCGAATCTAGTTCGTCTGACCAACCTTTAGTCCTATTCCCCTAAGTGCTCCTTCCCTCTGAGCCCCTTTCTACACTACCTCTATTACCCCACATTGTTAACCCGTTGTATGGGATCTTTCCACTCCACCTGTAGCCTACCACCATCAACCTGTTCTTGTTGCTCTGAAAGACCCTTCTTCCTTTCCTGCTAGACCCCAATTCCCTGTCTCAACAACACTGCAGAGGTTTAAAATCCATTATTACTCACCTACTTTCCAATAAGCTTCTTATCCCCTAGTGTTCCTTGCAATATGTTGATGATCTTTTATTGTGTAGCCCCTCATATCAACTTTCACGAACTCACACTGTGCAACTTCTTAATTTCTTGGCCTCCAAGGGATACAGGGTATCCCCCTCCAGGTCTGCCTCCACAGTCATGTATCTCAGTTTTCAATTGACCCCCACCACTAGAAGTCATTGAAAGCTTCCAGCCACCTAAAACCGCTACTCAAATCCTCTCTTTTCTCGGATTTATTGACTTCCTTAGACACTGGATTCCCAACTTTTCCTTTCTAGCAAAAACCCTTTATGATGTGTCAAAAGCCATCCCACAAGGACCCCTTAAATTCACCTCAGAGATATAAAAAGCTTTCCTCAAGCTCCAGCATCTCCTCTTACAGTCCCCACCTCTTGCATTGCCAAACCCATCTAAACATTTCTATCTATTTACTGATGAAAAAGAGGGTATTTCTGTTGTCTTACCTCAGCCTCCTGGACCCACCTGTACCCCCTTTGCATTTCTCTCTAAGCAGCTCAATGTCCCCACTCAGGGATGGCAACCCAGCTTGTGATCCCCAGCAGCAGCAGCTCTTCTCACTAAAGGGTGCTTAAAATCACCCTGAGAGGCCCTCTGCAAGTCTTCTCTAGCCAAAGACAGACTGCTTTCCCAAAACCTGCTTTCCCACCTGCTTCCTATCTACATCCCTCCCTATCTAACCCACCCATCCCTCAGTGTTCTGAAGTCCTTGAAGCTCTTTACTTCCCTCCCTGTCAGACCAACCTATCCCTAATCCAGACCATACTCTGTATGACCTATGCATCCTATGCTGTAGTTTCCATAACAGAGTGTGGAAAGCAGCAACTTACTTTCTGTTGTCTTAGCCCTATTGCCTTAGCCCATACCCGAGCAACATTACCACAAGAAACGATAATAGATCTAATTAAATGGAAAAATATTCTTTGTTCACGGATAGGAAGACTGAACACTAAGAAAATCACAACCTACCAAAAGCAGTCTTATTGTTTCTTGTGGTATTGTTTTGTAGTTTTTCTTAAAAAGATCTTTTGGTATGAGACCACCAGAGCCCTCTTTATTTCTTCTTGTTGTTGTTAGGTGCCATCAAGTCAAGTTCAACTCTTAGTGACCCTGTGAACAAAAGATCTGAACCTTGTTCTATCCTGCCCCACCCTCACACTTCTACTCACGCACAAGAGCCCACTGCTGCAGTCACTGGGTCAGTCTGCCTGGTTGAGGGTCTTCCTCTCCTTCACCGACCTTCCACCCTTGCCTGCATCATGTTGTTCTCCACAGAATAGCCCCTCCTAGCAACATGCACAAAGTATGTGAGGTGAAGCCTCATCATTCTTTCCTCCAAAGAGCACTCTGGCAACACCTCTCCAAGACATACCTGTTTGCTCCCTTGGCCATCTGTGGGATGTTCAGTGCTCTTTTTCCAGCACCACAGCTCAAAGAGGGCAGTGCTAATTCTGTCACCCTTATTCATTGTCCAGCTCTCAGATGAATAGCAAGTAATCGGAAATACCCTGGTCTCAATCAGATGTGCCTTAGTCCTCAAACTGACATATTGTTCCTCAATAATTTGGAGAAGTCCCTAACTACAGATTTTCCCAGTGCAATGTGTCTCCTTATTTCCTGACTGCAGGTACCAAGGGTGTTAATTGTGTATCCAAGCAAGATGAAGCTATTGACAGTTTCAGTCTCCCCTCCATCTAGCATGACACTACTGGTCCAGTGGCAAGAATCTGTTTGGTTTTTTTTTTGACATTGTGATGTAATTCAGTTTCAAGGAGTTTATGTCTCTAGTTGAATTTATTTCTAAGTATTTTATATAGTGATTGGCTATTCTGAGTGGTATTACTTTTCTCGCATCCTTTTCTGTTCTTTCTTTGTTGTAGACAAATCCAACTGATTTTTGTTTGTTGATCTTATATCTTGCCACTCTGCTAAATTGATATAAGTCTAATAGGTTTTTCTTGATTGTTTGGGGTTTTTTGTATATGCTATCATATCATCTATATAGAGTGACAGTTTCACCACCTCTTTGCCTATTTAGATACCTCTTATTTTCTTGTACTTTACTGACTTAGCTAGAACTTCCAATACAGTATGGATAGGAGTGATGATAGTAGGCAGCCTTGCCTGATCACTGTTTGCAAGGGATGTCATTAGTCTCTCATTGGCTCTTGGTTTTGCATATATAGTTTTCCATATGTTGATAAAATTCCCCACGTTACCTGTTTTGCTGGGGATTTTAATCGGGGAGGAGTGTTGGATTTTGTTGAAGGCTTTTCTGCATCAGTCATTAGGCTCATGTTCCTTGTTCTTTGCTTTGTAAATGTGATGAATTGCATTGTTTCCTTATGTTGAACCATGCCTGTTATGAATCCCACTTGGCTCTGATGGATTATTTTTCTTTCTTTGGTATGCTATTGGCTGCTTCTGCTGACCAATATCTTAAGAAGTTTTGCATTTATGTTCATGATAGATGTTGGTCCATAGTTTTCTTTTTTTGTGGTTGGTGCCTCCTTTTGGTATTAGAATTATGCTGGCTTTATAGAATATCTCTGGAAGTGTTCACTCTTCTATTCTTTTAAATAATTTAAATGAAATTGGTAATATTTGGCTTTCAGTGTTTGTTAGAATTCACCTGTGAAGTCATTGTGGGATGTGGAGTCTTTTTATTACCTCTCCAATTTCTTCTTTTGTGATGAGTCTATT